AGCCCCGGATAAAACTTAAAATATTAACAGATGCAAAAGAAAGAGGGGGATTTGCCCTGCCGGACTTAAGGCTATACTATGAGGCTGCATCCTTCTGCTGGATGAAGGATTGGTTCTTATTAGAAAACACTGATGTCCTAGATCTGGAAGGGTTTAACAATGCTTTTGGATGGCACGCATACTTGTGGTACGACAAGGTAAAGGTTCATAAACTGTTCAAGAATCATATTGTCAGGAAAGCTTTGTTTATTGTCTGGACTAAATATAAGGACTTACTTGAAAACAAGACGCCGAGGTGGCTATCACCGATGGAGGCAAAGGCCTCAAAACTACTTAATATGGAGGGTGTCTGGGCAAAATACTGTGAGATAATAGAAAAAGTTGGAGACAACTGGAGGTTGCAGAGTTTAGAAAAAATAAAAGATAAGGTGCGAGACTGGTTACACTATGCCCAAATTCAAGAGACCTTTAAAAAAGATAAAAAGATTGGTTTCCAGGTGGAAAAATCGAAATTAGAGACAGAACTACTTGAACCTAAGACGAAAGTGCTTTCAAGAATGTATAACTTGCTGCTTAAATGGAACACTCAAGACGAGATAGTTAAATCAGCCATGATAAAATGGGCTCAAGATATTGGGTACAACATTATGTTTGAAGACTGGGAAAGGTTATGGAACACCGGTATGAAATTCACGGCATGTAATGCCTTGAAAGAAAACATTATGAAAATGATATACAGGTGGTACATGACCCCAGTCAAACTTGCAAAGATTTATCATCTGTCTGATAATAAGTGTTGGAAGTGTAAGGAGGCTGAAGGAACATTCTTTCACCTCTGGTGGACATGCCCGAGGGTGAAGGCCTTCTGGGAAATGATTTATAATGAGTTGAAAAAGGTATTTAAGTATACCTTTCACAAGAAACCAGAGGCCTTCCTCCTGGGCATTGTGGGCCAGAGAGTGTTAAAGAAGGACAGAACCCTCTTTTTATATGCAGCTACAGCAGCAAGAATTCTTTTAGCTAAATATTGGAAGGCACAGGAGCTACCCACGCTGGAAGAGTGGCACACGCAACTGATGGACTACATGGAATTGGCCGAAATGACTGGCAGAATCCGAGACCTGGGAGAAGAGGCAGTGGAAGAGGACTGGAAAAAATTTAAGGACTATTTACAAAAATATTATAAGTTATATGAATGTTGAGAATTTGCTAAGTTTGGAGACAATAAGCTTCAGCAATTAAATTTGATTATGGTGGAAACTAAGTTACGACTGTGAAATGACTAAAGTTTAGAGTAATGTTTTTATTTTTAGGATCGATGGAAAAGGGAGTTAATGACAAGCACCCTAAATCTAAAATATAATTAGATGAATGTACAAAAACGCATGAAACATGGTATCAATTTGCTGTTATTTTTCTTTATTGTAAAGGATGCAGGGGGTGGAAGATGTGGGGAAGTCCAGTGGATCATGAAAAATTGTTTGTAAAATGTGAATTTTTTTCTTTTATAATCTTCTTTTTTCTTTTTTGTAAAGTCGCTTTTGTTGAATCATTGATGATGTATCTGACCTTGGAAAAAAGCAATAAAAAATATTATTTAAAAAAAAAAAAGATAGTTGGAATAATCAGTTTGGAGTTGTTAGGAACTAAGATTAAGAAACTGACAAGAGAAAAATAAACTGAAACCATACGCTTGTTCCTGCATTTAAAAATAAACTTGATTATTTGTTAATGTTAACAACTGTCTGGACTCCGTGTCCCCCCATGAGAAGCGGGGTGGTGGCAGCGAAGAAAGCAATCACAGTGGTGGCACAGGGTCAATAGACCGTCAAAGGTCTGGGGTCCCTGTGTGATCGCACAATCCACAACTTATGCTAGCCAGTCAACATGAACCAGCTGACTTGTAAGCCTTAGTTGCTTACAAACCCTGGTTAAGAAGGGTGCCTTTTAAAGTATTATCCATGGTTAACATCAATGCAGATATAATGAAAATAAGGAAAGGGGATAAGTCTTTTTGCCAGAATCGAAGTGTATGGCCCCAAATCTGGCCCCTGATTAGCAAACCATGGCTTTCAGGGAACAGCATTTGCACTGGGCCTTAGTGACTGTGCTAAATTGAGTTTGTGGTAAGCTGTGTGAAGAGAACTGATAATTATGTTTGTCAGCTTATGCATGCCTAACAGCTGCCAGAGCCTATCCACGCTTACTCAGAGGTAAGTCCCTTGGGTTCAGTTGTATTTACTTCTAGCTAAATATGCATAGAGTCAGGATCCAAGGGTGATGTGAATTGCTAGAAATCTGTATATAATTCTAAGTTCTAGGAAACTGTTCTGAATGAAGTTGAAAAGATACGGTAATTCAGCGGCCAATTTAATTCAATATAAATGAAGATTAGAGTGTTATGCCTAAGCAGAAAAGGGGCAAAATTGTTCCAAGTAGCCTTTTCTATAATCATAGGAAGAATGTGAAAGAGAGAGGAGAAGAAATAGTTAAAATTATTGAGTGCACCTGAATATGAAGACATATCTGCTGTCTAATCAATTCTGCATATTGACTGAGGATCCTAGTAGTTTAAGTAAACTAAAGCATTCATCTGCAACAGTGAACTAGAAAAAAATGGCATTATCATTTTTTTGAAAATAAAATGCAATATGTAAAAGTAGTGCCAATCTAGGAAACAGATGTTAGATATAATAGACTATTCATCTGTCACAGTTTGCATCAAGATACATTAAAGGGATTGTGTAAAAGTAATGTATGTTTTTACCATTAATCACCTATCATTCTTGAATCAGACATATCATAAATGAAATGCTAAAACTTTTATATGAGCATTCCAGCAGGCAAAAACAAGGCTGCATTAGAGCAATTTGTATTATTAATGCTTGTGCCATAAACAAAATTGACTTTTTGCTTAAATATAATTTCTGTGCTTTTGTCTGAAACTTACTCATAAACCAAGTTTCCTCAAAGCCCACAATGATTCTTACTCTACACAAGCACAACATTTGCTAAGTGTGTAACTGTGCAGGTTTCCATCATCTCCACAACAAGCCTGTGAATGGAGGTGGCCAGCATTTGAAACTCCCATTGTTCTAGGTGCGTTGTGCGACAGGGAATTTCGTTAGCGCTAGCAGTTCCTGAGCTCTGGGCGCAGTTCTGCACCTAAGATTTCAGATCAAAACTGCAGAGTGGAAGGAAAGGAGGACCTTTTTCTGCCTCTTCCAGCTACTCTCTGAAGACCGGATAAGAGACCCTCTTAAGAATATTAGGGGTATGGGCAGGGGAAGGACTAGACCATGTGGAAAATGAACATAATATTTTAGCTGAAGTTCATTCATTTTCAGGTTTGTATTCTTGTTATAAAAAAGCATGCCTAGACATTCCATTGTTGCGCCCACAACCTAGGTTTAAGGTGCCATTTAGCTCCTAGCTTTCATCTCTCGGTTTCTAATACTGGAGGCAGCCGCTACTGTTCCCATTTCAGAGGAAGGTGACCAAAGGTGAGCTATAAGAACACCTAATGGTTGCATAGATGAGCTAAAATTTGAATCCAAAACCTAGGATGGGCACTAGCCATTGGCCTACAGTTATTCTCCTTAAATTCAGGTTAATTTAATTTATTCTTAAGTGAATTTCATTAATTCAACAGAGGTATAATAGTTCATTACAGCAGATTACCGTGATATCCTGAGGTGTAACTGGAATTTGATGAGCAATGATAATGATTTAAATTAATCCCTTATACCATTTTATAGAACTAAATGGAAGGAAGCCATCAATGGATATTTATCAGGAAGAGGCATAAAGCAGGTGTTAATACGGTGATGGCGAACAAGAACTTATAATGTGCTTTACTCTACCAGCACAGAAAATATCCACCTGAACAACACAGTTTCATACTGTCGCCTAACCATGGTTAGCTGCAGTTTACAAAGAGGGTAGAAGCCAATTTGCACACCCTGGCCAAAGCTAACCAAGCTTAGCACCAGCACTGGTGCATGCATAATGCCATACCTTTGTTAGCTCTGAAAAAGTGTGTGTGTGTGTGTGTGTGTGTGTGTGAGAGAGAGAGAGAGAGAGAGAGAGAGAGAGAGAGAGAGAGCAATTCATGTGTGAGAAGGAAGGAGGTTTGGGGAAATGAGAACATTATGCCTGCTTAGGGCTTGTGAATAGGACACACATACTTGAGGGGTGTACACCCTAAACCTCACTCTCTTGGATTTGAAAAAGTTGGTAGGTAAGCTTATACCAGTTGAGAATGGGAGAAGGTACACTACTAAAAAGAGGTACGCCTCAAGTGATTTATTTTATGAAGAATATCCAGTGTGTTCAACCATTGGTCTTCCTCGTGGGCAAAGGGTAAGAATACTTGGATGTGCTATAGGAAGGCACATGAAATCCTTTTATACAGAGGAAGGCTCAGACGTACTACTGAATTCAGTGGGGCATACTTCCAGGTAAATGGGTTAGGAATGCCGTTTTAGGCATCCTGTATATAAAATGAAGCGCTACTACTAGTACCCTTTGCCATCAGCTTGAGGTCCACCTATTCCTTCACTCCACAGGTATACTAATGTCAACTCCCCCCATCTCCTGACTGTGGAAATACGACGCTGCTGAGGGAATAAAATAGTCATGGTGGCTTTGCAGAGAAGTGTGGTGAGCTGGAGCAAGCACGTGAGAGCCCTTGTGGTGTAGTGGTCAAGGTGTCGGGCTAGGACCCGGGAGACCAGGGTTCAAATCCCCACTCAGCTTTGAAGCTCACTGGGTGACCCTGGGCTAGTCAATGTGTCTCAGCCTGGCCTACCTCACTGTTGCTGGGGATTAAATGAGGAGAGGGCAGAAAAGACGTACACTGCCTTCAGTTCGTTGGGGAAAAAGGTGGGATATAAATGCAATTAGAAATGATAATATACAGTGCATAAAATCTGGTAAGCGGCCTGTGTTTAGGTCTCAGAATGCCAAAACAAAAAGCAATCCCAAGTCAGTTCACTTACCAGCAGCAAGAGCGACCGCTATAGCATCTTGGTTTGCAGCACTTAGGATCTGAACACCCACTGGGAGACGGGGGCACGTCTGTTTCACAGTGGCACAAATGACTGCCATGGCTGCAGTGATTTCTGCACCCACACCAACTGTGTACGGCCGATCATGCATATTTTCTACAATCAAGCCATCCTGTTGGAATTAATATAGAGCTATTAAAAATCAGAAGAGTTGCTCAGAAATAAACAGAGGGCTCTGCATACAGTGGATAGACTGGCAGATAACGCTCAAGGAATTTTCATTGCAGTCATGCACAACAGCGGAGAATCTGCCTTCCTAGCGCAGAATCTGGAGCCTTATACAGTATTCTAAGACTTCTCAGTTTTCACTGCCAGAAAAGTGCTTAAGTTACAGGAGAAAAGACTTGAGAGCTTTTATTAAATCTGCAAGCCACAAACTTTGCTTGAGCCAAATCCCATCTTTGTCATATCCTTCTAAAAAAGATTAGCTAAGGGAACCATCACAAGAGGTAAGGTAGCTGGGACCCCTCCTATGCCCCGCCCCCCAGTAATTCATGCAGGAGTAAGAAGGAATACTACTTTAACAATGCCAGTAAAAATTCCCAGTATATGTAGCCAAGCTCATTAAAGAGTTTTAGGGGCCCCCTGCAGATAATAGCAGCAGACAAACTAAGGTTTAAAAAAACCTGCACACCTTCAAATACTTCTGCAGAAGATAATTTTAAGTGAGAATGCCCGCTTGCTAAATGCTGACCCAACAGCATGATTTTTGTAAAACAATCATAAAAAATTAACGTTGTGCTCAATTACAGTATATCCCTTTCAAATGTATCTGAAGTGCAAAAGCCATTAAATTGTAACTTTCATTTTCACCAAGTCAAGCCTTAATTTCCCCAAGAGAACAGGGGGCCTTGGCTCAACTGCAATAATCGAGGGATCTGATAACTAAAAGGAATTAAATGAAGACAGTAGAGGAGATGCTTGTTGAGAAGAGCTGGTGGTTCTGTTTTTTGACCTGTTTTTCTACTGAGAGATTAAGAAAAGAAGCAAGTCACTATTTTCTCAGCCAAACCAAACTCACAGGCCTCTTGTGAGGATTAATAGGGTTAGGGGTGGAAATACCATACGATCCACCACAAGTTCATGATGTTACCAGGGTGGTCTTTCAGTACTATTTGTGCAGTTGAAATCTTCGAGGCAGTCTTACTGCTTCACTTCCAACCAGTACCTATCCTGTAACTTCCTGATCAACTCCCCGTTAACTTTTCATACCACAAATTCAAAATTCAAATCATACGGGGTGGGGTGGAGTGGGGACATTGTTCCACTTTTGTTGTGCTGTCGCCCCTCCAAACAGCAAAAACTTGGTAGCATTGTGGAAGCATCACAGAAGAACCAATAACGCAGAAGAAACCTACCACAAATTCAGTACGATTGTGTCAAGAACATGCTGCAGAAGGGGTTCCTAGTTTTTTTACAGGGGCAAGCTGAAGCTGCCCACTTGGACCATATTTAAATTATGAAGCCGAGGGCCTTCTGGCGGTTCCCTCACTGCAAGAAGCCAAGTTACAGGGAACCAGGCAGAGGGCCTTCTTGGTAGTGGAACACCCTCCCACCAGATGTCAAAGAGAACAACGACTACCAGACTTTTAGAAGACATCTGAAGGCAGCCCTGTTTAGGGATGCTTTTAATGTTGGATACATTACTGTATTTTAGTATTTTGTTGGAAGCTGCCCAGAGTGGCTGGGGAAGTCCAGCCAGATGGGCAGGGTATAAATAATAATAATTATTATTAATACTAATTGCAGTTTTGCCTCCCCTCTTTCCTTTTGGGTACCGTCCCTTGTTTCCCATTCAACCAATCCGTGGCTGAGCACACGTTTCATTCCAAATCCATGTTCAACACTGTCCACTGAACTGCCCACTGTTGCTCCACCTCGACAAAGTGGTAACTAACGCAAGGAACCAACGTCACTCAGATTTTGGATTCAAAATTGCTAGATGGAGAAGTTTTGCCTTTTGCTGCATTCTGTAAACGAAGCACTGCATCCTCTGTGTTTTGGAGTGCGTAGCTCCACCCTTTGAGTACAGCTCAAATTCTATACAGCAGACCATTGTTATTTTTTAAATGACTTTAAGGTCTTCTGACAGCACTTAGGTGAAAATTAAAAAAATTCTGGTATTAAAATCATAAATAAATAAATAAATAAATAACAAAAGACTCGAACACGATTCCTTCGAGTACAGCCAGTTGTGTATACTAACTCTAGACCCATCAGAAAAATCAATATGGTTTTACATTTTATTGCTCTAGTATTTTCTTCACTTGTGGGTGGATTGGGCGCTAATAAAAAATGAAAACAAAATTCACCCACAGCAATCAAGCCTACCTATTTTTCTTTTCTCAGATATTTGTTTGTTTTCAATATTTTAGCACATACCACCACTCACAACTCAATTCTGCTATCAAATTGGTGATTAATTCCAACTGCAGGATATGTTAATTTAAAGAACAATTACCACATTTTCCAGAATTTACATAGCTACCTACTCATATGTCCTTATATTTTTGCAGACATAAAAAGTACGTACCGACCCCTCTCACTTTCTACTTTTTTGTGTTTTTACTAAATTAGCATGGATGTGTTATGTTATGACACAACACCTCTCTATTATATCACGGAATTTACTAAAGAAGCAGAAAGAAAACAGGCGATTAAATATATTTCACAGCACAAATTAATGACTTGCTCACTTCGGCAGCACATATACAAGTTAAAAAAAAAAAGAGTTCTTGAAGCCCTTTCTTGTGGAATCTGAAGATGGCTCATATTTTTACTTGGTGTACATAATTTCATTTTTACTTCCCTCAAGTGACTATATTCTGCTATTGATTTCATCAATGTGCTTTGTTTATACTGTATTAGTGCAAAGCCCAGCAAAAACAATAAAAACTTTTAAGCTGAATGCTTCCACTCTTAGCAAAAATGGCAAAGCTTTCAAGTTGAATGCCTGCGCAAGCACGCACGCACGCACACACACACACACCCTACACACAGTGTGGCAAGAAACCACATCAGCAAACTATCACATCTGGGAGCTCCCTAAATAGGATTTATTGAAGGGTGCTTGGAATCAAAGAATTGTAGAGTTAGAAGGGACCACGAGGGTCATCTATTCCAACCCCCTGCAATGCAGGAATTGTAGCTCTAAGGGGGTCCTGCAGATCTCAGGATTCTTTGTGGATCGCCATGCACCTTAAATGTGTAGCGTATATGCAGCTCCTGTGAATTAGGTTAGACTGAGAGGCTATGATGCGCCCAAGGTCACCCATCCTGAGCTTCATGGCTGAGCAAGGACTTGTACTCTAATGTCCAGGAAAACTATTTTCATTTCCCTACATAAATAGACATGGAATAAGTGTGCAAAGGTTTGCAAAAGTTTTTTTTTTTTTAAGGAAGTCAATACCACACTCTTCTGATCTTTCCACATTTCAGCTTGCCCCATGGAAAGATCTCTCCTCTCTTCCCCTTGTGTGTTGTTCTGTTGGTTTTCCAAACCTCCAGAATCAATTGAGGAGCATGGCAGGAGGGAGGTGATATTGCACTAGCAAGACTTGTTCTGGCTTCCATTAGTGCAACTACTTAATAGAACCCGGCCCTAAGAGAATCACACTTCCCTGAAAACAGCCAGATAAGTACTGAGCATGTTCAGTAGCCAGAATTCTAGTATGGGAGGGGGGGAGGTTTACTTCTCTCTGTACCATTCATAATTTTTGTTTGAAAAATTTAGAAGAGAATGGAAGATACGTAGGAGAAAAGGCATCATCAAAATCTAGAGGGTGCAGCCTCTCCAGTGACACTGACGTTTTACAAAAGGCCACGCATGAGGCAAGAAGTTCAGCGATCTAGTAAAAGCAATAATGTTGGTATATTTCCCGTCCTCTGTAAAAATGAAAGCCGAACATGGCAAAATTGAGAGGGTTCTAAACTCCTTGGAATCTGTCACTGCATATAATCTTGTCATGGCAATTTTGATTGTGTTTGGCAAAACAAGCATATCGCAGCTACAATTTTTCAGCACAGATGGCATCATGTCTGAGCATTCACTTGTTTTCATTAATATGCTCTAACATTATAAATCTTCCATATTTATTATGTTCTTTTAAAAAAAGCACTAATGCATCAAACAAGCCACCTTCTATATAAGAAAAAACCCTGCGGATCTGCTTTCATCAGTCATGTCTGCATACCACTTTGAGACAGGAAGATGTACTTGTAATCCTCTCTATTCTACTCCACTGTTTCAGCAAAAAATTTTTTAAGGGGCTAGGGAAGAGTTATAGCTACAAGAAAGGCAGCAATGGATAGTACAATCGCATTAGCATAGATCCCCTCAAATCAGTGGTAATGCATGAGCGTTAAAATGCTAGAATCTATAATGGTTTGGTGAAATCCAAAATGCACAGTAAGTCAAAAATTGCAATGGCAAGCCAGTTTTTTAATTCTCCAGAACTTTTCATCAGAAAGGCTGTTAAACGAAACAAGAGAGCAAGGCAAGGAGATTGTGGTGTTGATGCTCCCCAAATCTACAGCTTATAATAATAACCTTACGGAAGGCAGACGTTTGCAGACCTAATTGGATTCACATCTCAAGGTGCAAGAAATTGTTGCACCCAGGCTATTGAGAAAAATTGTCATCCAAGTTGTTGGCCATTAAAACATCTTGGATTGGGGCAGGGGGAATCAATTTTTAAACTATGCAATATGTGAAGAAGTAACTCCCTTTGTCTGTTCTGAGACTTCCAACATTCAGCTTCACTGGATGACCTCAGCCTGTAGTATCAAGAGGAAGGGAGAAAAAGTTATCTAGGATTCCTTCCCCCGTATCATGCATAATTTTATACACCTCTCTCACGTCCCACACTTACTCGCCCCTTTTTCTAAACTAAAAAGGCCCCCAAATAGGGAGGTTGTTCAGCATCATGATCAACTGGGTCACCCTCTTCTGAATCTGCTCCTGCTCTAACAATAGTGTTTCTGAGGTTTTTCCACCAGCACTGTGCACAGTACTCAAAGTAAGCCACTCTATATGTAAACCAGAACTGTATTATCTAAGCATATAACCCTTTCTCCATCTGTACTTCAAGGCCACATGTAAATCTACTGCATTCCCATCTTTGACTTATCCTGCATTTCCCCCATCCTTCCTTATACGCCATTTCTGTCACCCACCTGTGCCAAAAATCTTCCCTGTTACATATCTTTATCAACTCTTATCAATACACCTCTTGAACTTTCTTCCATTTTTTTGGCCTTCGGTCCTTTTGTCTTTTGACAGACTAAATTTAGACCCCTCACTTGACTCTGGCTGTAAAGAGGTGCGACTTTATGAAGCCATACAGAATGCTTACTGTAAAAAAACACAAACCCCAATCTTTTCTAATTAAAAAAAAGAAATCAGTCGAGAAATAACACCAGAACCAAAACTATGGTTCATTTAAGTTCTGCTTGAAGGCTGGTCACCAGGGCATCACATCACCACCATGCCAGGAATTTATATATTCACTGCAGGCAGGTTGATGGAGAAGTGTGAAGCAGCACAGGAATACAGGGTGCAATGGAATGTGTAAAGCATACCCTGACCTTTTCAAAGGACATGCACCCCGTTAAAAATCTGCTGACCTATGGAAATTACTGCAACACCTGAGGACCAATGGAAATTCATTGGTACCTGACTGTTGTTGCCTCTGGCTCAAAGTGGCCTTTCAGGTCTTGCCTTCTAAATACACACAGCAAAGACTTCTTTCCATCGACAGATGTATCACAGTGACGTTGTGGGTGGGCAACAGTACAGACAAGTGCAAGCTGCATTTTCTGTATTGCCTTTTAATAAGTTAGGCTATGCTGCTCTTCAAAAACCTTAACTAAAACAGCCAGGAAGTGAGCACCAGAATGATAAAAAGACGACGGCTTGAACATATGTGATATGTATTTAATAAACACATGCAGTGCTGTAGAGAGTGCCTGACCATTGGTCCATGGAGCTCACTTTGTTGGCTCTTGACCAAAAGTAGATCTCCAAGGTCCCAGACAGAGGAATTTTCCTCCCATTGCTCAAGATTCTTTAACTAAACGAACCTGGAGCATCATATATGCAAAAGCAGAGCTCTGCCACTGAAATATGGGCCCTCCTTTTGTACCTGCTTTATCTTAAGCTCCTTGATACCATGAGAAAAGGGGATTGGCAGACTGTAACCAACTTGAAAACACGAGTGCTGTGTAATTTTTGTACAATGCTACATTTTTTCTGTATGTTTTCATTATTGTCTAGTGTCATCGTTCCCCACTCTGGGAAATATTGAAGAGTGCATTATAAGTACTCAAAATAAATAAATAAGCATCAAAAGAATGAAATTGGAACCTAAATATATATTTTAAAATGTGCACTCCAGTTAAGTTGATGGATTGCTATTTCAGACTATTTACAAAACATTAATTTTTGTTTGAATTTCAAATGCACCATCACCACTTTTTATTTCCATCCAGAATTTTGCACAACATTCAACCATGCAAAACATTAACTAGGAAGTTTCAATAAACAAAATAGAAAGGAAGAGATAGCTCTTACAACTCCTGCAGCCTTGTAAATCTCAGCTTCCTGACAGGCTTCTTCAATGATCTGAGGCAATGGCAAGGTATTCCTTGGGGTTCCTGCAAATATAAAGTTGTCACCACACTTACACAAATACATACACACACTCTAGCTTTTGATGCCGTCAAGGTTATGGCTATTCTATACTGTGGTGAGTGACAAATTAACTTCCCTTGTCATACGATCAACCAGTGACAAGAACAAATTTCACATATTGGCTATCAGCCCTTCCAGAATCCCTTTGTAATGCTTTCTTATAAATTAATACCATTTAAGTACCATAACTGAAAAAGTGAACAATAAGGCACTTATATAAATGGCAGGACTTCGTATGGACTGTAATAGGTAATATTAAAAATTAATAATAATAGATGTATAGGATTTATTCAGATACAATGATAAAATACGGTTACAGGAACAGGCCACAGTCATGCTGCCTTCCTCTTCTGAAAAGTTCATAAGTTTTAGCTTCCATTTTTTTATTAACTGCAGCTCATATTACATCCAAACTCAGAAGAATTGTGGTTGATCTTACCTATGGTTTATTGAAAAAAGCCAACTTCAGACCTTGCTTTAGGAAGCTGGTTTATTTCAACAGACCACAGTTAAGATGTACCACAGTTTAGGGTTACTAAACTGTGTTTAATTAAAAATGGAAGCAAATACCTCTGATCTCACCGCCATCATGCCTATGAAGGGAAGGTCCAAAGCCTGTTCTTCTAATGAAGCTGTAGAAAGGTTCACTAAACTTAAAAGTCAGGCAAAGTATCCTAGTTTTATATATTCCTTTATATTATATTAATTTAACAAGATACTGTTTTGGGAACAAGTCCTACATAGCTTTGGGCTAACCCAGTAAAATGCAGGTTAAAAAGAACAAAGTCAATACAACTATTCATTAATAAAATCACATTAATATATATGATTTTCTGACAGCAACATTTTAGGAAGTATGAAATCCATAAACACATTTCATTTGGATAACTGAACTAACTAAGCATCATAACTAAGCATCATAACTAAGCGTATCTGAAGAAGTGTGCATGCACACGAAAGCTCATACCAAGAACTAACTTAGTTGGTCTTTAAGGTGCTACTGGAAGGAATTTTTTTTGTTTCGACTATGGCAGACCAACACGGCTACCTATCTGTAACTGTAACAAAGCATCAGTTAGCCATGCATCCCTTTTACATATTCCAAGGTACCTGGCAGTGCCTGGCTTTTTTTGAAGCACAGGACATCTTTGCCATAATAAATTTCCCCCAGCACCTGTTAATATTCTCTCCTATCCTGTTGCTTCAAATAACAATTAAAAAATGAGGCATTCACCTGGCAGCGCTTTCACATGGACCATCCCAATGATGACTGATCGTAATCGCCCGAAAAGCTGCAAAAACTTCATCATCTAGAGAGATGGAAAGATCCTCATAAGCATATGACTAATTGGTTTCTTTAATCAAGTAACAGGCCCCAAAAGCAACATCTTGCAAATGAGAACAGTCTGCTTTTGTTTCTTTACTTTCTTTCAAGATATTCACAACCTTCTTAACTCTGTGGGCCCTCATTTTATACAGAATAGGAATTTTATCTATATGGTATCTTACCAGGTTTTCCATCACTTGGGCAGTCCCGTTTTCTAACAGCAGCACCAGTCAATTTACACATATTTAAAACTACTTAACAGAAAAAGTAAGTTGTAATGATGGATAATTTCTTTATAATGTCCTCCGCCAGTGGGAGAGATGGGAAGCAGGGCTCATTTCATCAGCTTTGCTGGAGGCCCAGTTCCATCAGACACCTCCTACTCCTGAACAATGCATGCTGGTCATTACAAGAACAACAGTTTTAAAAATCTGTTCCGAAGTTTGACTCCCCACCCTCCACTTCCCTCCCTGTCCCTTTCCCCATGTGTGTCCTGCTTTTGTAAACTGTTAAGTGTTGGCAGGAACTGCTTTCCTTTAATTGACTGTATGTAAGCCACTCTGGGAACCTTTTTAGCAGCAGAGTGGAGTTCAAATGATCTAAACAGAAAATACAAACTTATGCCAGGGCTCTCTTGTGTCCTCTAGAACAGTGGTTTTCCCCGGGGTGCCATGAATGATGGTCAGGGGTGCTGTGGGCAACACTGACCTCTGTCCCTCCTTCCTCTGATGCCCTCTGCCATTTCGGCCGCCCAAAGGCTTGCACAGCTGTTTGTTAGAGCAGCCCTGGCCACAAGCTCTGCAGTGAATGTTGCCTCTGGGGCTGGTCAGGTGTTGCTAGCTGCCAGTAGCTGAGGCGGCCTTGAAGTAAGCAAACATGCAAGCAAGCAAGCAAGCGAGGGAGCCCAGCCAACTAGTCCACCAGCCCTTGCTGTCCGGAATGGACAGACAAGTCCCTGGCCCCTGTGGGGCAGTGTGAGGAGGCACCTCTCTTTGGGGCAGGCAGCTCAGAGACCAGGGCCATCAGCAGTGGCTGCCCAGAGGACTCCCAAGGGGAGACATAACTGGGCTCCTGAGCCCCACAGGGGTGCGGCAGAAAGAATGCAGTTGGTCAAGGGAACCATGGACTCAAAAAGGTTGAAAACCTCTGCTCTAGAGAAACCTTATTCATTGAACTCAGACATGTTGTGCTGTAATCACTGCTACCAGCAAAAGGCACTCTGCACATGCTCAGGTGCGTTTTCCCTGAGGAGACTCCTCCCAGTCTTCCCCATACTCAAAAAAGTATTAGAAAGCAATAGAAACACTTAAACTTGCAAAAGCCCGGCCCCCAGGTTTGCATATATGTATGTATTTTTACATATTAAAAGCAAGTCATTGCACCATCTCCCAAAGAAAGCTCAATAACTTATTGCGCCATCTCCCCCCCAAAACTCAACTTTTTGCGCCCCCCCCATCAAAAAGCCTGCTGGTCTTTCCTCTCAATATCTCCACTTCCCATTCAATGAATAAGCCGCATTCTGTATATGCTCAGAGGCACCGAGACCCAGGGAAGTTGGAGTGGAGAAGGGGGGGGGAGTAGCCGACCGTATAGAGAAGCGCTTCCTCGCCCTCTTCCCGCCCCAGGAGAGGAAGGAAGCGACCGCCCTTTCTCCTTCCCGCTCAGCATCTGCAGTAGCAGCAGCAGCACCGCCTCTCCTCGCAGAAGCCCCGCCCCGGCCACGCCCACCCGCAAGCCCCGCCCCCGGGACCCCCCAAGCCAACCTGGGCCGGGGCCTCGCGCTCACCTGGAGGGCCCCCCTCTGCCCCCCCCCCCCGCGGAGGCGCCTCCACCTGCCCAAGCCTGGCCTTCGCCTTAGCCTGGCTCCAGGGCGGAGGGGAATGGGGCAAGCCGGAGGCGGCGGCGGCGGCCCTGAGGCGGCAGAAATGCCCGCGCTCGGGGCCTGGGCCCGCCCTGTGCGCGCAGAGAAAAGGCCGCGCTAGCCTGACACGGGAGCCGGCGCGCCGTGAGGAGGCGAGAGGACGGCGGCAGCAGCAGCAGCAGCGAGGAGGAGCCCGCCTTCCTGTATCCCGCCGGCCCGCCCACGAAGCCGCCAGCCACACTGCCAACGCCGGCCGGCTGGCCGACCTCTGCTCCTGGTAAAGTGGGGGGTGGGGGGGAGGAAAGAGGAGCCCCTCACCCTTGCCCATTCAGAATTCAGAGGGGTTTCCCAGGCATTTCTCCAGGGGCACTGGTGGGGGTGGGGTGGGGTGGGGGGTGAAATGACAGCCTCTCCTTCTACTCTCGGGCACCTTGAAACGAGAGGGGTGCATTTTCTCTCCATTCTTGCATTTTCTTTGTCTTGGGGTATGTTTTTTTTGGGGGGTGCTTAACCCTGATATAAATATAGGGTGGGGTGTTAGCGTGCTGCCTTGTATGTAGGTGGTTATTTTGTTTATATTATTTTGTATTTATTGGGGTTTTTTTGGGGGGCATTGAGAGGTGGCTGGGTCAAGTTTTCCCTTAATTGCTTTCACATGGAGTAACTTGGATGGGTGCAGTTAATAGGGTGTTAAGAGGGATAGCCCCTTTTTCCTTACCCGGTGCCTCTTTTTCTGGGTGAAAAGGCACGCACACTCCCCAGTGAAACTTACCAAAATGTGGGTTTGCATGCAGTTTCTTAATCCCCGAGATGTGCAACTGTTTTATCTCCATGCTGTTGCTGCAGAAGGCTTATTTGGGCCTGCAACGTTTTTTGGAGGCTTTTCTGTTCCTTTTTTGTGTTTGAGATGCATATCAATGTTTTCTGTCTCCTGCCTTTCTAAGCCTTTATCAATCCTAAATTGTCATCCTTTCTTCCTATATGTTTTCCTCCATCTTACCTTTTTTCTTTAAAAGTAAGCCACACTAACAACTGAGATATTATATGAACTGAAAGTGTTTGCAGATTCATCACTGCAGTTCTCTCTCTCTCTCTCCCCCCCCCCCCAGGGTTGAAGTCTTGATCTCTCCAGACCACCATGTCCAAATCCAGGTGAGTTGTATGCACCTCTGTAGTCTAGGGGTTCCCAAACTGCAGGCCATGGAGCACTTCATTTAGGTGGTCCTTAGCATGTCTGTTAAAATGCAGTTTGAAATCACGTAGCATGTAGCTCACTGCTTTACAGTTGCTGAAACAGGGAGAAAAATTAAGGTCTGCCAAGGCCACCAGCAATTTCCAAGTGGTCTGGGGAATGAAAAGAGTTTGGGAACCACTGCTCTAACCTTTAGCAAGGCCTGTTTCAAAGGCAGCTTGTAGACCTGGAATGCCCCCTTGCAAATCCTGTTTCAGGAGGAACTTGTAAGCCTGGAACTCCCTGTATAGCAAATACTAAAGAAACTCTCAACACCATGTATGAACAAGCATGTTGACAAGTGGGTGAAAGGGTGCATTCATGCGCACATCATAAATGTTTTCTTCAGTGAAAGCATGTTTTTATAATGCATGGCATGATAGGACTGAATCTTCCACTCTCTGCAGTGATCGCAAGGACAAGAACACTCTCACGGAAGATGAAGCTCCCACCGACTTCACTGTTCGAACCCGCAAGAGAAAAGCTGATGTCGCCACAGTAAGTGCCTGTATTTGTGGGGGAACAACTCCAGTCATCAAAGAGCACTGCTCAAATCAGATCATGTAACTAGCAACTGTATCCGTTTGAAAGGAAAAACAGTGTGATGACTCACACCCACCCAAAACCTTTTTCATGACATTATCTACTCCTGAAGATAGGATTAGCATACTGGTCAGTTGATTGCCTATTTCAGTTTGGTTAAATAGTCTGTAAAGCGAAGAATGTCACTCTCCATGGTAAGTCCCAGGCAAGGTTAGGAGCTAAGGAAGCTGCCTTATCCTGAGGCTCATTTGCTCGCCATAGTAAGCCAAGCTGTGGCTTATGAAGCCCACACAAACGGGCGTGTTCTCAAAGAAGAGTCCTTTTTACTGCTGCACCACACTGTGCTAAGCCAAGGTTTCGTTTAGCATGTTTTCCTGACTGGGGACTTGCGGCCGCACTATCTTATCACTAGCCACACACTGTAGCTGAAGATTGATTGTAGAGTCTTACTAAGCCATAACTTCATTGACCCTGTTACACGAACCAGGTCTGTGTCAGACTACTGGTCCATTTAGCTCAGTGGCTTTCAGTGGTTTAGACAGAACATGTTCCCAGGTCTACCTGGAGATGTCAGGATTGAACCTGCATGAAATGCATGTACTGTACTACAGGACATATATTCTCCTACGGGCCACCTGCTAATAACAGCAGGTATCTCTGAACAGGTACACAAACAGCTGTTTGGGGCAAGGGCCGCTGCCCAGCACCACCTATGGCTCCATCTTTCTGGCTGCAAGAACCAGGAAGTACCCTCTCCATCAAGTCATCTGCTGTAAGAAGAATTGAACACTAGTTTGGAAACTTAGTAACTTCTAAAAAGTTAACTTCCTTGTTTCATAATGTTGGTTATTTTTATTTTATTTTATTGCAGCTAGCAAAAGTATCAAGCACAGTGATAAAAGTATCTATTTTCATTCTTAATGCATTCAAAATACTTGACTGTTACTCGATCGATTAGCTGCTCAATTCTCATTTGAGTGATTCTATTCTCAATCCCACCTAAATAAATCCATTGCCTAACTTTCAGTAAAAAAATGAATTGCTGATTTTTAGCAAGCACACTGCCACCTCCACATAAGTAAAATAGTTGCAATGTGCATGGTGGAAACTACGAATTCCTTAAGGTTTTTCCATTTACACTTAGGTTTAACCTTGGCTAAAGGCAAAAGGCAAAACAGTTATGTAGACATGTGCTAGCTGGTAGATCTTGGTGGATTCTATCTTCGCAGAATAGATGGTAGTACATTGGTACCTCAGGTTAAGAACTTAATTTGTTCTGGAGGTCCATTCTTAACCTGAAACTGTTCTTAACCTGAAGCACCACTTTAGCTAATGGGGTCTCCTGCTGTTGCCGTGCCGCCGGAGCACGATTTCTGTTCTCATCCTGAAGCAAAGTTCTTAACCCGAGGTACTATTTCTGGGTTAGCGGAGTCTGTAACCTGAAGCGTCTGTAACCCAAGGTACCACTTTACATTTGTGCTCATGTAACCATACCCCAAATGAGTAGTGAAACCCATGTGAACAGCCATCGCATATGTAAAGCCTGTATTTTAACTTCCTTGTTATGATAGCTAATGTTCATGAACTGCCTTAAGACTATAGCACAGGGAAACCTCGGCTGAATCAGGCCAAAAGCCCATCTAGTCACTGTTCTCACAGTGGCCAACCAGATGCCTGTGGAAAGCTCACAAGCAGAGCCAGAGTCATATAATCCCAGAGCCACTTCTCTCCGTCCCCCCTGCCCTCCATTTACTGCAGACTGGTAAACCTCACTTCATTCTTTTCCATGTAGTTTTTACAGGATCCAGATGAGGAAGTTGCCAAAACAGAAATGACCAAGAAGAAACAGAATGAGAGCCAGGTAATTATTTGGGCATTGGACTGGTATTCAGTGATACTGTTTTAATTTGTATAGCTCTGTATAGCATTAAGCCAGGTGTGGAGAACCTGTGGACCTCCTGTTCTTGCTGGGCTTCCATCAAACCTGACCACTGGCCATGCTGGCTGAGACATGATAGGAGTTTGAGTCCAGCAACATCTGGATGGTCACAGGTTCCCCATCCCTGCATCACACCTATGAGTCTTAGAGGATACGATCAGTTCCAACTTTCTCTAGTTCCCAGGCACAGAGGCATATTTGTTGTTATTGGTCCCATGTACCTGTGGTAGGATAAAATAGGGACTGCGATGTTAGCTGGAGTTGTTGGAAGTTCTCACTTTTCAGGGTTTCAGCTTCTGCCCAGAGCCTGTAGATTCTGCATTTCTGAGCAGAGAGAGGTGGGAGATGCTGCCTACATCTGATGCATATTCACTCGAACACTAAGGCATCATGCCATGAATAGGGTGCCTTTTCATACGCTTCAAATGCAGTATTTTTAGACTATGTTTTCCCCAGTAATACGTTAACCAAACTGAAATAAACACAATGGGTTACATTCAACTTAATCCTAACCAGAGGAAACCCTTGAAATTAATGAACCTAAGTGTGTAATGCCCATTAACTTCAATGGGTCCCCTCAGAGTAGGACTAATGTTGAATATTGTCCAGGCTTTTCCATTGGAAGAGGACAGGCTGTTGCCAAGTAAATGTAACCCAGTAGAACCCAGTAGGTGGCATGTCCCTATCTTTAAGCTGTGAAATGTTGGAAGGGTGCAGTAAATTGCAATGTAGTGACCAAGTGTTTTGAGTTGTGGTATGGATGTCTTAGCTCAGCTTTACCTATGAATGTGCTAATTGCTCTCATTCAAGCCACAATCTTAATTAGAAGGTTCGAGACAAAATTAGTGAATTCTCATATCACTAGATGCCCTGGATTCCCAGATTTGTCAGTGAGCAGTAGGGTCCCTTGAAAAGGAAACCAAAAATATTTGGGCTTTGCATCCTTTTTAGAAAAAGTCCCACTTTTCATTTCCATCTCTGCTATGCACAGATACATAGGACTATGAAGAGCTCCATTTTTGTTGAAATGAGCCTGCATAATCTTTGTATACAGAGATGAAATTGGCTGGAGCTGAAAAGAATGCATCAGCTTCCTTTGTCTATTGTGACAGTTTTCAGGGTGGTAGTTAAACTGCGGAAAGAGTGATCAGGAAATGTTGCTGCTTTTTTTCCCTTTGCTTTTCCTTTCCTTTCCTTTCCTTTCCTTTTCTTTTTTTTTTTTTGTCCACAGACTAATCCAAAATGTGGTACACCTTCCCAATTAAGGCAGCTGGAGATCTAGAGGCTAATGCTACCATAGCAGATGGGCTTTGTTTGCTATGGATTCTGATTCCTACAACTCCCTATTCCAGTTGTCGGTCAACTTGTTCAGCATTCGCTTTCTGGACTCCAGTTCCCTTCCCTTTTGTCATCATAGGGGAGATACAATATTAACCATTCAGGTTTGACCAGGGAGGGTTAACTGGCTTTCACCACACTGTCTGGTCTTTTTCCCCATTTTGCAGAGGTGAGATCCATCAACTGACCTGGCAAAGTTTTGATGGAAATAAGTGACCAACTTGTTTCTTAAGATTCCTTAAATACTAAATTTAAGTGTACAAATTAAACCATGCATATTCCTAAAAGAAGATGGTTGAGAAAACATGATGTCTAATTAGGTCCACTACTCAGAACTAGATCATGGCTCCTTCATGAGTACTTTTGTGGTTGCTAACCCAATTATGCCACATCACAGTAGGGCTGTGTGATAAATTGCCATATTGTTGAACATAAACAAAGAACTGGAAAGCGCTTCTTCTCTCATACTCACCCCAACCGGTGGGGGGAAAAGAGGGGGAAGAGTTACTATTTTCTGGTGGTATTTATGTTGTTGGTTCGCCCTAAATAACTTCCCTCTATATAAAAAAGGAAAGTTATTTATTTATTTATTTAAATGAGACTGGTGGGATGAGGACCCTTCAGGGTGGGTAATGGAGAGAAGATTTAGCTGGTTGCCTTTTGCTGAAATGGGAGGATGGATACTATGTGAGATTGATGGGGGAGGGTGTTTTTCGGTAAGCAGGGCAAGCAAACGGTTGTCTACTCACAAGCAAGCCCTACTGAATTAAAAGGCCCTCCACCGTCATACGGAGCCGTGTCAAAGCCTTCGGCTGCTGCGGGGAAGCACGGTGCACCCTCCAACCCCATGAGGAGGCATGGCAAGGCCTTCTGCTGCGGGGAAGCGCAGCACACCCTCCGCCACTGCAGGGAGGTATGGCGAGACTCTCTGCCGCCATGGGGAGGTGCGGCAAAGCCCTTTGCTGCTGCGGGGAAGTGTGGTACACCCTCTGCTGCCATGGAGAGGTATGGCAGGAAATTCTGCCACTGCGGGGAGGCGCAAGGCCCTCTGGTGCTGCAGGGAAGCGTAGCACATCCTCTGCCACTTGGGGAGGCATGGCAAGGCCATCTGCTGCTGTGGGGAAGTGCAGTGCAGCCTCCGCTACCATGGAGAGATATGGCAGGACCCTCTGCTACTGCAAATATATATTGTGATACTTAGCTGGTGAGATAGCGTGATTTTGAAAACCAGATCTCTCCCAGCCCTTCATCACAGTGTGTTTAATAGCCCTTAGATGTGTCGTTCCACATGGTGTTGCGTTGCATCATGTACAACTGCAATATTCTGCCTGCACTTGCAGAATATTTTAGAGATTGTAGGAATAATTTACATTAACTGTTTTACTTACCCTTTTCCTTTTCAATAGTGTGTAGAAGAAAGCTCAAACAGCTGCATGGTTACATTTCCAAAGCAAACGTTTGCATAAAATGCATTGGCCTTGCAGCTCTTGCTCAGCAATAAAGCTGTTGGCACAGCATCTGTTCCTATACGGAGAAAGTGCTTTGCTGTAACAACATGTTGTGCTGGCTATCTTGAAGGCTTATGAAGCCATCATCTGATAGCTCAACAGCAGTCTATAGTGTAGCATTCATAGACTCATAGGGTTATAGAGTTGGAAAGACCCTGAACGTTATCTAGTCCAACCCCCTACAGTGTAGGAATCTCAACTAAAGCACCCATGACAGATGGCCATACAACCTCTGCTTTAAAACCTTCAAGGAAGGAGACTACACCACTTTCAGAGGAAGTCCATTCTGCTGTTGAGCAGCTCTTACCATCAAAAAGTTCTTCCTGATGCTTAGTCATAACCTCTTTTCTTGTAACTTGAAACTATTGGCTTGGGTCCTAACCTCTGGAGCTGGAGAACACAGTCTTGTTCCATCTTCCATGTGACAGCCCTTTAGATATTTGAAGATAGCTATCATATCTCCCCTCAGTCATCTCTTTTTCAGGCTAAACATAACCAACTCCCTCAACCGTTCCTTGTAAGGCTTGGGTTTCTAGAACCTTGATAATCTTGGTCACCCTTCTCTGCACACCTATCTTGTCAATATCCTTAACTTGTGGCACCAAGAACTAGACACAGTTCCATAAGTTACTTCTTGGTATGAATTGGTTTCTGTCACTAATGAGAATGGATCTTTTATCAACACCATATACCCAGCTATTGGAAAAACAAGAGAAGCTTAAAAAAAAAGAAACCCAGTGAATTATGAACTGGAATATGCTTGACTGTTCCATTGACTGGATGGACGATATTTCACTGTCAATATCATGCATAGAAGAAGCACTGTCAGTCCCACTTAAAGTGTGCAGAGTTCATTGGTAGTGTCAGCCTAACATAAGGCTAGAACTTTTAACTGCAACACAGCTCCCTTTTTACATTAAGAAAGGGTGTTTATATTGCCCAGTTGGCAGAAGCAGATTTTTTTCAGCATGTGGTTCTCAAGACGATTGTGTCATAGCTAAAAATGCTCACTATTTCTCAAACTAGCCCTGTTTCTTTAAACTCATAACAGGTAGCTTGATTAAGAAGCAGCTTGTGATAAATTGTGGTATGTTAGCTGAAATCAACATAGTTTTTATGGGCCTATGCAGGTAAGCTGAGCTAGAAAAAGAGCTGTAATTTTGTTCCCTTCAACATGCTTTTTCACCTGCTGAATACCAGTTATCTTGTTTTGTCCCTATACCCTTACCTGGTCATGGTGCTTTTTGTAGAAGTGATGTGTTGCTTTCCATGTTGCACCTTCATTTGAGCAGGGGATGATAAAGAAACTCTTCTTGCTTTCCAAAGATGGGAAAAACCAAAGAGCAGCGCCTTGTGTGCTGTGATTGCTGCAGAACTAGCCGTTTTGTTTCTTTGGCACTTGCTGTGTTGTGAGACCTGGTACTTTCAGAATAAGGAAGGAGTGTGTTCGTCTCCCAGCCTAAGCAGGACAAAGAATAATTTAGATCTGACTTGCGAAAATGGACAGTGTTTAAAACAGGTGTGGGGATCCCTTGGCCCTAACAAGTAACATGCGCTTACCTGTGGCTTTCTTGTCAAAAGGCTTTGAGACAGTGAGATCTGTACCCACAAGGTTTCGCTTATGCTGTACTCTTGTAGTGGAGTAGGTTTTGGATGTGAATCCAGATTCTAGGTTGCTAAATGACTTCTAAGCATTAGGCATCTAGCCTTGTTCCAAGCTGCCTTCTGGGTTTGTTGCTTCCTGCCAGCCATACGTCCACTGTAGCTTCAGCATAGATGATTTAGGGGCATAAATATCAAACAGACATGTTGAGGAGGAGAAAGCAAAGCAAGGAGCAAGAGGAGGAAAGCAGCACAACTTTCTGAAGGAATTTCTTGTGGGCCCAGGTCAGAATACAGATGGAACTTTTGCTGGATATAGTACCATTCTGCTTCATCTGACATCCTTTGGGTTTTTGCTCGAAAACTAATCGATACATATAGAGTCCAGAAACACGGTTTGGTAAAGATGTTGGTTTCATGTTGAGTCACCATTTACGTTCATCCCAGTGGTGACTTTCAGTGATCTAGTTATAACAGACCAGCAGTTTTGAGCTGTTTCTCATGTAAGCCCTTGCACATGCAATTTTCACTATGATTAAACAGAGAGCTGTGGTTTTTAAAGGTGTTAAAGAAGAGGCAACTGTTCAGAAGAGTTGAGTTGTGTGCGTGTGTAAAAGAATTCTGAAGCTTAGAAATCACTTTTGGGGTTTGGAGTGAAGTGTTCCGGTACACTGCTAATGCTACCCTTTCTGCAAAATATCTGCAACATCAGTTATCAGCTTGAAGATTCCATATATTGCTGGGAGTTTGTATTCCTTCCCTTGTACATAGCTAACATACTTCAGTTTCTCCTTGATGTGCTAGTTTCACATGAGTATAATTTTCCAAAGCATACAATTCCAGAATGCGAGGAATGCTGTGTGTGCCAATTTGTGTTTGGCATCTGAAGTTTTCTGTTAAGATAAGTTGTATTGTAATCCCGAAACAGCTAAATTCATACACTTTTAGTTATTCTTGTGCATGCATTGGGCAACAACCTTTTTTGTTTTTTAAAAAGCAGCCAGCATTGTTTTTCTTTTTGTGTTCATTACCACAGGAACTCAGAGAAAACAGGATAACTGTTTGGGACTTCCATCTGTTTCCTCCCCACCTGAAGTCCTAATCCCTCTGTTTCTTGATTTCTACTATCAAGGATATTGCCATCAGGTGGAAAATAAACAGATGGGATTCTGAAACTGAAAGCCTGTTTTCCTTCATGCAGAATATTTTTGTGCCTGGCAGAGCAAGTGCGGTGTCACAAGTGCTCTTTTAAAAAGACCGCTTGCTGAGTTGGTGACCATTTGTCTCTTCTCTTGAAGCAACAATAGCTTTTTTCAGAGGCGAACATATGAAAGGTAAATTGCCATATATTCGAGTGAGGTGGCTAAAAACACTTGCCTTTTAACTCTTTCTGAATTTGTTGTGGGGAGGACTAATCAACTGTTCAATGAACTTTATAACTGTGAGATTTAATGGCTCCCCCTTTTTATTTTTTCTTCAATAGCCGTTTTCAAACTATGATGTGTGCGCACATCCCCATATGCTGATCCCAACACCAGAGAAAGATGATGAGCTGGGAAGCCCAAACTTCTCTCCTTTCATGCACCAAAGCCTTGCTTCATCTAGAGATTCGCCGTTGCCTGTTTTGGGGTAATTTTTCCTAATTTCATGGCCTCCTGTTCCATTATTGCCTGTTACACTTTTTTTTCACATTTACTCTTGTTCTTTCTCTCTCTCCTGCAGCTGGGCAAATAGGGATGAAGTGTGGAAAAACATGATAATAAAAGAACAGGCATATGTGAGGGATAAACTATATCTGCAAAGGCATCCACTCTTGCAACCTAAAATGCGGGTGATTCTTCTAGACTGGCTAATGGAGGTGAGACTGTCTTCTTATGCTACCATTTGAAACAATGAACACATCGATGTGAGATTGTTATCATAGTTTGCCTGGAGTTTCCTTGGGAGCAAAGGGTTTTTTGGAACTACTACCCTGGTAGTAGGGGAACTTCCTCCTTCAGTTGCTCCTAGTTCTATTCCTAGCATAGGATAGATTGCTGCCTGTCTGATAGAGCTGGTTCAGAATGGACTAGAGATCCAGGTGAGGAATATCAAGAGTTGCTAATAGGGAAGGAAGGTGGCGGGGAGAGTTCGGAGATGGACATGCACACAACAGCTTAAAAAAGGCACTCTGGTAAAAGTGGCTGCTCGGAAGGTTGTTCTCAGAAGCATTGGGGTTTTTAGAAAACTTAAAGCACTAGGATGCCATGGGAAATGAAAGGGGACACAGGTGTCGGGACACTTCATAGCTAAGCAGATAGCAGTTGGGTAGCCAGAACAGTGCCCAGGGCTCTCAGTATTGTCAGTCAGTGTGTGCATTTGGGCGTAGTAGGGATTGGATCACCCAAGCAGGATAAGCAATTTTCATGCCAATACAAGTCCTAGGTTGCTCATTTCCATTTCAATGGATGGATCCTAAGGGTAGGTCCTGGCCCCTACAATCAGGCCTCAGTTTTTTGGAGTTGCTTAAGCCATAGGCAAGGCAAAAAGGAGTCCCCATCACAAATCATGAATTGACTCTCCTTGTCATAGGCTGGAAGTCAGGCAGTTGTTCTTTACAGGAAAACAAATACTCTCTCTGCAAAGAGAAAACATTCTTCTAGTTTCAGCAAATTTTTCTTCATTGTAGGCTTTATGCTTTGGTGAAGAAACAAATGTTTACCTCACTTTGGTTCACTTCTATGTTTCTCTGCCAAAATTTTAGAGAGGGGCAACGAGGGGAAATATTTCCAGTCCCTATCCCATCTTTTTATTGTGGCAAACATTGCTGTATCCTTTCTTCCCTCTAACAGGCATTTTTCTGCACTCACAGTCCATTTTTTGCATTTATCAGTGCAGGGAGACTTTTTATTTATTTTTGCTGGTGCCACAGGGGCTTCCCTTCAGTTTTCATGTCATGGGCATTCAACATGTATTCATATTGTCAGACCAACACCTCCAAAACAAAGGCCCCAGGGTGCTCCAGATCCTAGGAAAACTTTGTGATGTTCTGCTAGCAAGTAGTTCATTCCGTTTGCAGTTGCAGCTGGCCCAGTGCAAAGTGAGGTGGCTGCTGAAGTAAGATTCAGCTTCCAGTTAGGTTGGGTTTTGTACTTCTTTTGCAGGGCGGGGAGCAGCATGTAGTCCTTTGCTTGGGGCAGCAAAATGTCTTGAATCAGCTCTGCTTATAGTACAAAAAATGAGCATATTTTGGGGCAGCAAAGCAAAAACTATGTCATAGACTAAATCAACTCATCTTTAGGAAACACTAAACAGTTGTACCTTTGTTCTCGAATGGAATCCATTCCGGAAGTCCGTTCGACTTCCAAAATGTTCAGAAACCAAGGCATGGCTTCTAGTTGACTGCAGGAAGCTTCTGCAGCCAATTGGAAGCCACGTTGGACGTTCGGCTTCAAAAAAAAGTTCGCAAAATGTTCAGGAGCCAAAACATTCAAGAACTAAGTTGTTTGAAAACCAAGGTACAACTGAGCTTCCCATTAAGAAGGTCCCTGGTTCATCATGGAATTATGCAGCTGAGAAGCAGAATGACACCTTTCTGTCTCCTGCAGGTTTGCGAAGTCTACAAGCTTCATAGAGAGACATTTTATTTGGCACAGGATTTTTTCGATCGGTTCATGGCCACGCAAAAGAACATTGTAAAGACACTTCTGCAACTTATTGGAATTTCATCCTTATTCATAGCCGCAAAGCTTGAGGTAAAATGAGTCTTGCCTTCAAACCTAAATGCATTTTCTGTGGTGCAATCTCCACTTAACATGGTGAGACTTGCTTTGAAGTAAATATGCATAGGATCACACTCTTAAAGTAAAAGAAGCTGGATGTGTATTCATTTGTGAGCCATCTTTTGATGGAATGCAATCTGGGATTGAAAATAGTTTGGGCTTTGTTGTTCTGCTCCTACAATACTATTTTTATGTAAAATATAATCTTTTAAGTTTGGAGGAATCATTAATAGCCTGCCAGATGTTGGAGTACTATTCCCATCATCCTTGGTGATGTTGGCTGGGGCTGATGGAAGTTGGAGCACAAAACCTTCTGATTGAAACAGCTGGGGAAAGCTGCCTTAAGAGGTTAACACATCTGTTTTAAAGCATGGGTTACTTTAGTAACAATCCATGTTATCAGAAGTACATTCTGCCTCCTTCCAGTCCAGTCCTGACCTCTGGTCTAAATCCTACAGTGAAATGCCACATTTAAACATTTTTACTCTTCCAAGAATTATTTACCTTTTATGGTACTTGTAGGTTGCCTCTCTGCCTGAAAGCACCCAAGCTACTATTTAACATTAATAACTAAAATGGGCGTGTGTGTGCGTGTTCATCATTAAAGTTCAATAAAACCAAATTGAAGTTGCCTTTCACTTGCCTCACTGTTTTAAGATGAATCAGACACACACCAGTGACGTTGACATACTGGCAGATGTGTGATAAGCCTTAAGCACTTTTTTGTAGAAGACATCTTTGTAAATTTGATAAGAACACCAACTCTTGTGTACAAATTCTGGTTCCTCAAAGTCCTTCTTTGTATTTCCTTCCCTACTGCAGCTGGTAATATCATAGAAATGAACAGATATGGGGCTGCAAAGTGCAGGAAGAGAGCAAGGCTGTGTTTTCACACACATTTCAAAATAAAGGCTCTGTCACCTGCCGTCTTGGCCATTTTGATTGAAGAGGCTATGATCCTTGATAGATCTTGTGCTCTTAACAGCAGCCATAAAGTTGCTATTACATTTGCTGCTGGGCCTAATTGATCTGAGCTCAGGAAGTATCCCTGTACATCAGAATAGTGCTGTTACCCCCCAAATTAGGCATTGATAGCTGTCAGTGTCTGGAACCATCTGGCTTTGCCATTTACCACTGTTGACAATGCATTGATGTCCCGTCTTCCATGTTTCAGGAAATCTATCCTCCAAAGCTGCAGCAGTTTGCATATGTTACAGATGGGGCTTGTACTGAAGAAGAAATTCTTAGTATGGAACTCATCATTATGAAGGTAAATGTGATTCTCTCTGTGTGTGTTTGGAATGGATTGTAGGGAAAATTGCATTCTGCTTTTTTTAAAGTCGCATCCTCAGTACCTTGAAAAGCCTTTTCCAAGCCACTCCGTGCAGTCAGCCATGGTGAAAAGGCAGCACTTTTTGTTGCCAAAAGCATGTTAGTTAATCAGTGGCATGTCTGTCTTTCAGTTCTTTATCTTCCATTATCAGTGATTCTTTTATAGCTGTGTAGATAGAAATCTCCTGTCCATTTTGAGACATCTGAAACAGCTTGGCTCAGCATGAAAGACTGCTGGTGCATTTTGACATAGAGTAGTACATTTTGTAAGTCCATGGTGAAAGTGACCCAAATTCCATCTGTGTACTAATTCTATAACTTGCAGTATGTTCTTGTTAGTAGTAGTAGTAGTAGTACTTACAAGTAGATGTAAGTGCAACCTCAGGGTAATAATGCATGGGATTTCTTTCTCTTTCTAACCCAGCCCTCTCTCTAATCATTGTAACAGCCCAGTGTAAGGTTAATCCAAGAGTGACTGGCACAAAATCACCTGGGGAAGTTCATAGTTGAGTAGGGATTTTAACTCCAGTCACCTTGGGCAAAGACCCTATCCTCTACAGCACACTGGCTCTCGTATTTATTTTTTTATAAGTGTGTACAGTGGTACCTCAGTTTACGAACTTAATCCGTTCCGGAAGTCTGTTCTTAAACCGAAACCGTTCTTAAACCGACGTGCACTTTCCCTAATGAGGCCTCCCGCCGCCGGTGCCCTTCCACCGTTTGGATTCCATTCTTAGACCGAAGCAAAGTTCGCAAACCAGGACACTACTTCCGGTTTTGTGGAGTTCGTAAATTGAATCGTTCGTAAACAGGACTGTTCTTAAACTGAGGTACCACTGTATATGAATGTGCAGCGTGGCAGCAGGACTTGCCACGTGTGCATTCTGGATTAGGCCAAAGGTCCAGTATTCTCACACTGGTCATCAGGTTCCCAAAGGAAGCCCGCAAGCAGGACTCAAGTGCAACAAGACTCTAATTCATATCTGTCCAAGTGGGTGGCCATTACTGTCTCTTGAGTGAGTGAATTTCATAGTTTAACTATGTGTTGTGTGAAGAAGTACTCCAGAGATGCCCTGCCTCTGCACTCTGATGTAAAAGTGAATGTAGGATACCTGCATTGCAGGGGGTTGGACTTGGGAATCCCTTCTGAGTGTGATTCTATGCTAAGCATAATTGTAGCATCAGTGCATTGGAATGAATGCACATGTGTCTCCTGTGTGTACTACCATTAGTATGTGGAATCAAGGCCTGATCTGCTCCTCTGTTACATGTTTGGCATAGACTCTTGCCCCATAGGTTATTTATTTAGCCTGCATTTTGGTGCCCACCAAGGAGAGAGCTTTCTAGGTTTGCTGTGATGAGCCCCATTGCAGTTTTGCATCAAAGCTGTTACAAAAGTCGACGACTGTTGTCAGTCCTTAACCACATTCAGCTGTGTTTGCAAAGAAGAGCAGGCAAATACCCTGTGGGTGCTAAAGAAACTCACTTTACCTCCTGACGTGCACGCTCTCTTCTAGGCACTCAATTGGAATCTGAGTCCCCTCACGGTTGTGTCCTGGCTAAACATATACATGCAGGTCGCTTATCTAAATGAAATCTGTGAGATGCTGCTACCGCAATACCCCCAGGAGATATTTGTGCAGATAGCTGAGGTAAGGACGAATTCTGCCCTTAAACATTTCACCCACCACTTTCGTTAGAAACGTTTCCTTTCAAGCTCTCTGTCCCCTCTCTCCAGCTTTTGGATCTCTGCGTGCTGGATGTTGGCTGTTTGGACTACTCCTATGGCGCTTTAGCTGCTTCTGCATTATATCACTTCTCCTCTTGTGAGCTGATGCAGAAGGTTTCGGGTAAGCTGCGTTTTAACAAAAGAGAAGAAATCCAGCGTTCTAAGTCAAGCAGAGGCATGACTTACAAAGGCGGGTGTCTTCTTGATTTTCTAGGTTATCAATTATGGGAAATACAGGACTGTGTGAAGTGGATGGTTCCCTTTGCTGTAGCCATCAAGGAGGTGGGGAGCTCGCCGCTCAAACACTTCAGAGGCGTTCCTTTGGAAGATTTGCACAATATACAGATGCACATTAACACCTTTAACTTGCTGGTAAGTGTTCTCATAGATACATCTTAGTGGCCAAAGGCCTCCTTGCTTTTGTAAGGTAACGGTAAAGGGACCCCTCACTGTTAAGTCCAGTCGCGGATGACTCTGGGGTTGCAGCGCTCATCTCGCTTTACTGGCCGAGGGAGCCGGCGTACAGCTTCCGGGTCATGTGGCCAGCATGACTAAGCCGCTTCTGGCGAACCAGAGCAGTGCACGGAAACGCTGTTTGCCTTCCCGCCAGAGCGATACCTATTTATCTACTTGCACTTTGACATGCTTTCGAACTGCTATGTTGGCAGGAGCTGGGACCGAGCAACGGGAGCTCACCCCGTTGCGGGGATTCAAACTGCTGACCTTCTGATCTGCAAGCCCTAGGCTCAGTGGTTTCAACCACAGCGCCACACTTTGCTTTCGTAGAGCATGAGAATAAAAGGTGAAATGTGTGTGTGTGTGTGTGTGTGAGAGAGAGAAGGTTGTATTCAACTAACTTTTAGAGTCGGCCCAGTGAAATTAATAGATCCAAGTTAGTCCCGGCCATTAATTTCACTGGGTCTAACTCATGAGTAAAAGTTAGTTGAATGCAACACTAAATGTTCAGAAACTCCCTCAAGTGTTAATGCAAGAGGACAGCAGTGTGGCATGGTGGGTACCTTCCCAACCCCTGGCCCTCAAGCATATACAGCAGGGCTGTGATGAAGTGAGGCCTGGAAAGTCTCATCACTTCATCTCTCCCTCTTTGTCTATATCAGGTGTGGGGAACCTTTAGCCCCTCTTGGTGAACTACAGCTGCCAACATTCCTGGCCATTGGCCATGCTTGCTAGGGCATATGGGAGCTGTTGTTCAGCAATATCTGGAGGGCCAAAGGCACCCCACTCCTGGTCTAAAATGTTGGACTTAAACCTGAGAGACTGACTTTGATAACAGACTTGATCTGTGTGATTTAGTGATTAGATCAGGAGAGCATATTTAAAATTTAATTCCATTTTTGAATCTCTCTGAATCGTCTCAAAGCGATAAGCAGAAACATCAACAATAAAAACAATTTAATATATAAAAACCATTCAGAGCCAGTGCAGATGCAGGAAGCTTTGCAATCTTGTCCCATTAGCCTATATAACTTAGAACCTAGTGACTTGCCTTTCCGGATAACGGGAAAGGGTTGTAATGCACTCTTGCCAGTTTTGCAACTTAAATCGCATTCCCGATGCAGCAAATGTTAGTGATTTCTGGAAATAATGTTTGAGCTGTAGCAACGGGGAGTAATATTCCCTCATTGTAATGTTGAATTCTTAAGCCTGCTCATGTACAGATTTGACTTTTCATAACTAATTCTCAGTTTTGTGCTGGTATGCCCACCACATATGATATATATGTATGCTTTGGCACTCGTCATTTTAAAACATGGTCACGCAGCAGAGGATTGGGGTCCTTCTCATGTATTTTAAAGTTGTAAGTACACAAACACATAGACTAGGTCTCTGTGTCCAGATGCAGCTTTCTGTATATTTTCCTCTCTGAGTATGTGTCATGAGTTTGCTCTTGAAACCTAAAAACAACACAGGGATTCTGGACACATGAATGAGCAGTCGATCATTCACTCTTGGCGTTCTTCTTTTCTAGGACAAAGTTCAAGAAAAACAAGCTGCGTTGGCCAAGAAGAGGAGGAGTTCTCCTCTACCCCTGGGTGTCCTCACCCCACCTCAGAGCAGTAAGAAATTGTCTCTGACACCCAAACAGCTGTAACTTTTTCACAAGCTACTCAACCTGAAGACCTCTTGGCCAAAACACCTTTATAATTCTTGATTCTTTACTGTGAGATGCTGCCAATGACTTACCCAAATGTCTTATGTATTCTAAAGAGAAAAGTCTTCACTTTTTTATGATGGAGGAAACCTGCATTATTTTTATGGGACACTTTGATTTTTAAATGAACTGATGGGGTACGCCAGCCACCCAAAAACAACAAGCATTTGCTTGGATTGCTGCTAAGGAGGGCGATACTCGTTGTGCTGACTCGAAAAGGGGGTGGGAAGAGAAAAAGGGGTTCTGCCTTCTGCACTTCTGGGGCATTAACCATACTCTGGATTTTGCTAGCTGTGGATGGCAAGCTCCTTCTCAGACCTTCCTAGTTTACAACTTGATCCTTTTTTAACTAAACACTTTGTATAAATGGTCTTATGTGTCTTAATTTTTAAATAAAATGCTATCAGCTGCGTCCTATGCAGTCTTGCTTTTATATGTCATAACTCTGGAAGGTGAAAGACAGCTAAAACTTTAATTTCCAATTACAGTTAAGGAAAATACTTGGTGCTGTCATTGTACAGGCTGCCATACAGAATTCAGGAGGTTGTAGGTTTCTCCCATTCACAGCTAAATAGCAGCTCTAGGGGAGGGGAATGTTTGGATCAGGGAATGTTTGGAATTGGACTCTTCCCCCCCACACACACACCGCCCCCATCGATATTGGTTGGGGGCCTGGCCTATGTTTTTTTTTATCTCAGATATCTTTTGGCAATCTGTGTTTTGGAGATGCCCTGGAGGTTATGATGAAGAAAACATGCGTTTTCCTAATTCAGACAGCTTTTTGAAACAGTAGAAGGTCTATCCTGTTTGTGTCTTACGAATATCAGACTTTCAGAAGGCGGCTGTAAATTGGACAGTAACAGAATGAGTGTAAATATCAACTTTGATGGTGTAAAGCTGACAGCTTGATTGTTTTGTTACAGATTAGTAGCAGCTATGCATTCAAAAGACTGGTCTTGTATTATCCTTGGATTCATATCTGATTAGATTCAAATCTATTAGGCTGTAGTGCAGAAGATGCTGCCATAATTGACAGTGGCCTCTTTTGGGGAAGGGTGGGGGAGGTGTTTACACATCCCTAATTTAACACAAATGACCCCAAGGCATTGAATTACTTCTTGGTGGTCCAGAAACAGGCCACTCGCCCTTCAAAATTTTATTGGACAATAATATTTATTTATGTCATAAAATGTATACCAATTGAGTGTAAAAAAGACAAAACAAAAGTGGTTGACAAAAAGAATAATATAATATCGTTTAAAACAACTATTTAAAACAATGGGTCAGTTGTGTCTGGCTGTTAACCCGAAGGTTGGTGGTTTGAGCCCACCCAGGGACGGCTGTGGGCAAGGCCTTGGACTAGATAACCCATGGGGTCCCTTCCAACTCTATGATTCTATGGAAAACTGATTTAATAGTTGATTTGGTATCTTCCTCTCCAAAGAAGGCAGCCTCATAGCCCCAACCAGCACCCTGGTCTCAGCACATTTCCTACTATTCTTCACTTAATATGCAAGAGTAGAATTCCCACCATGGGCGTGGCCAGGATTTATTGGAGGGGGCTGGCTTTATGTTGGGGGTGAGGCAGAACAGAGTTATCTGCAATGCAATTGGTCAGTTGGTTACAATTATTATTTTTTCCTTTATGGGGGCCAGCTGTACCCCCCTGGCTACACCCATGCTTCCCACTGGGTAAATGTGAGAAAAGCATCTCTAGCCACCTCTCCCCACAAAAGAACTTATACAGCCTGGCTTGATTTGGCAGATTAGGAAAGATGCTGGTGGCAGGCAGTTGTGAAAACAGGGGCTGTAGCTTGCACCATGAGAGAGGGATGAAAGCAAACGTGCCATACCAACTCTTGCTTTTTCCTTTTCACCACCGTCGCCACCATGTGGATCCCCTCCCCTCCAATCTCCACTAAACAGCCCTTAAACCTTTTGGACTTTTAACAAGCCTGGCCTAATATCCTACACGGGTAGGGCAGGACGCCACTTAGGCATGGCGTGAATGAAGATGTCCTCCAACCAAACGAACAAGTTAATCGGTTTTTGATTTACAAATAATTTTGAGATGGCAAATAAAAATAAGCGAGAGAGAAGTGGGTCCAGCTATGCCTATTTTGGTCAGTTTCCATCGCCAAAGCCAGTACTTTCCAGTTTGCACATCAGCTCACAATGTTGTGTGTCCTGGGTGACCTCCCATCTGAATACCTTACAGGGCCAGGCCTTCCCTAATACAACCACATCATGCATCTTTAAACTATTTTCTTTGTGGTGGGATGAGTAGTAAGGTGTGTCTTTGAGGTCTGTTTTGTTCTAGCCCTTTCACTGCCATCTTTGTGGTGGTTCAGTCCTGAACTTACATTTCTATTTGGCACACTATGAGGGTTGTAGGCTGAGGCTCAGTTGCTTTTCTCAGCCGAAGCAGCTGGAGCCTCTAAAATGTGTGTGAGAAGGCTGGCATAAAACTAAGTATAGCCTTGGCTGGGAATTAGATATTCACTCACCGCCGCACTGGTGGCAGCCAAAGCACTTCTACGTCTTCAAAAATGGAGAGGCAGCAGCAGCTGCACTCTGCAAGGTTTGCAGAACAATCCGTGGCCTGGCTATAAAAGTTTAGGTAATGCGGATGTTTTCACGCATCTCCTGGCATGGGTTAAACACAAAGCAAAGGTGTTTTAATCCTCCTGGAAGGATCGCCTACTGAACCTGTAAACTTTGCAGAAATTGTTTAAAAATGTTTATATTTCTTAACCTTTTCCCAAACACCACAGCAAGAAAATAGAAAGTTGGCGTGTAAAAATGGCTGGGTCTTACTTTACTGGCATTATTAAGGAAAGGTACACACGCACCACCTTTGCTTGGCTACATGTGAAGGTACAAACCTTGTATACTAGGAATTTAGAAAACTGGAATGTCCCTTAAAAGTGGGCTGGCTTCAGCCTTATACTTGTGGCCTCCCTCAGCCCTCCAGCATGACTATGAAGAGGAATTTGAAAGATTTGGGTTCTGTCTTTATTAACCACAGGCAAACCATGGTTAATCTTAACTACGGTTAGTGGGAACAATAATATAAAAAGAGCCCTGATGGATCAGACCAAATGCCCACTTCATCCAGTATCCTTCTCGTAGTGATGCCTTGCTAGATACCTGTGGGAAGCCCCAAACTCCCCCCCCCTTAAGATTCCCTACAACTGGTTACCATGGGCATGCTGCCTCTAGCAAATGAAGGGGGGCAGTTGGATGCCATTTTTTGTTTTGCCTTGTGCAGCATGATGTATTGGGCTGGCCCTGGATTCTGGATTGAGAAAAACTACAAACTTTTGTGCTACAAATGGGTCGGTGCATATGCACTCTGTGTTGCATGGCTGGGCGGGGCCGTCCCTTCACCAGGCCGCCTTCCTGCACACATTGTGCCAGGTTTAATTAAACTCAGTTGCTTACTATGGATTAGTTCACTTTAACCCCATTAAAATTAAAAGACGCCTGCTTCTTGGGAGAAAAGCAATGACAAACCTAGACAGCATCTTAAAAAGCAGAAACATCACTTTGCTGACAAAGGTCCATATAGTTAAAGCTATGGTTTTCCCAGTAGTGATGTATGGAAGTGAGAGCTGGACATAAAGAAGGCTGATCGCCAAAGAATTGATGCTTTTGAATTATGGTGCTGGAGGAGACTCTTGAGAGTCCCATGGACTGCAAGAAGATCAAACCTATCCATTCTGAAGGAAATCAGCCCTGAGTGCTCACTGGAAGGACAGATCCTGAAGCTGAGACTCCAATACTTTGGCCACCTCATGAGAAGAGAAGACTCCCTGGAAAAGACACTGATGCTGGGAAAGATTGAGGGCACAAGGAGAAGGGGACGACAGGACGAGATGGTTGGACAGTGTTCTTGAAGCTACCAGCATGAGTTTGACCAAACTGCGAGAGGCAGTGGAAGACAGGAGTGCCTGGCGTGCTCTGGTCCATGGGGTCACGAAGAGTCGGACACGACTAAACGACTAAACAACAACAACCCCATTTCTGAGCTGCTCTAATCCCCAAGCAAGCCATTCTTAACCTCAGGTTAAGCACAATAGCAGTGTGTAAATTTAACATGCAATTCAGCTCCTGTGTTCAACACCTTTACGTTCTATGAATCTATAACTCAAAAGAGTAAATTTCTGATATAAGCTAAGTTGAAATGGAAGAGGGGGAGAAGGATGCATACACCACCTTGAGCTCCTTGGAGGAAAAAAAGTGGGATATACATAAAATAAATTAATAAATTAAATTCAACATAACGAAGTAGTTTCCAAATAGTAGTGCTGGCAGAGTGAGAGTGACAGTAGGGAAAGTATCCTTGATGATTGCAGGCTTTCTGTAGCAGTGTACAACAAATAACAGCCATGGGGGAAAGGAAGTGCACCGTCCTTGAATTCTGTGGTTTTACATATGAAGACACAATAACAATATCTGTTCTTTAGTAGGTCTTAAGATTAGATAAATACAATCTCAGATGAACAACAACACATGACATATTACACTGTGTCATGATTTATTCAACAGAAATAAAGCCGAAATGGGAAAAGCCATGTGTGAAAAACTAAGTACATCTTATGATTCAATAGCATGTAGAACCACATGAAGTACCGGTAATTGTTTTCTGTAGAACTTTATCTGTCTCACGTTGTTGTGGAGGAATTTTGGCCCTTTCTTCTTTGCAATGTTTCTTCAATTCATTGAGGTTTGCTGGCATTTGTTTATGCACAGCTCTCTTAAGGTCCCACACAGCATTTCAATTGGGTTGCGGTCTGGATTTTGACTGGGCCATTGCAACACCTTGATTATGTTCTTTATCAGTCATTATGTTGTAGATTTGCTGGTGCACTTGGGATCCTTTTCCTGTTGCATGTCCCAATTTCAGCCAAGCTTCAGTTGCTGGGCAGATGGCTACACATTTGACTGTAGAATACTTCGGTATACTGAGGATTTCATGGTCGACTCAGTGACTGCAAGGTTCCCAGGTCCTGTGGCTGCAAAACAAGCCCAAATCATCACCCCTCCACCACCGTGCTTGACAGTTGGTATGAGGTGCTTGTGCTGATATGCTGTGTTTGGTTTGCTTAACGTGGCACTGTGCATTATGGCCAAACATCTCCACTTGGATCTCATCTGTCCAAAGGACATGGTTCCAGAAGTATTGTGGTTTGTTCAGATGCAACTTTGCAAACCAAAGCCATGCTGCTATGTTCTTTTTAGAGAGACCAGGCTTTCTCCTGGACACCCTTCCAAACAAACCATACTTGTTCAGTCTTTTTCTAATTATACTGTCATGAACTTTAACATTTGACATGCTGACCAAGACCTGTAGAGCCTGAGATGTAACTCTTGGTGTGTGTGTGTGTGTGTGTGTGTGTGTGTGTGTGTG